ATGAGTGCCTTTTGGAGCAAATGTGGACAGACTCCAAGCTAGGGTTACCAGCACCTCTGGGTGTGCATTTTTCGTCAAAACCCAAGATTCACCACCTACAACCCTGTGTACAAAACGGGCACTGGGAACTGAAGAGCTTAGGACTCGAGGAATCCATTTTGGATGACTAGAACCAAACAGAGCGCAATCCAAAATCCAGTTGTGGCTACCTCCAACTTTTTCCATTTAGATTGTATGATTTAGTTATTTATTTTATAATATTTTAACCCACCTTTTTCCTTAAAAACTTAGTTATTTATTTAAAATATTTTAACCCACCTTTTTCCTTTAAAAAAGGACCCAAGGCAGCTTGCAACAATAAAAAGGGCATAATTCTTCTATGGCTGCCAGAAGCCTTTGCTGCCATCTTCCACAGTTACCCAATAATCTCCCTGTAGCTCCTGATCTCGTTTCTGCTCTCTCCTGCTTTAGACACCGGTGTCGTTGGTTTTCCTGGGTGCAAAATCCTCCCTGAACCAGGAAATGCACTCCCACAAGATCTCTCTGGCTTGTCCCCCCTCAATTGATGGATATGTTGCTAATTCAGGCAGCACAGAGAGCCAAAGAGAATCACACAGGTACCCTGTACTGTGCACAGCGTCGCTGGCAGGTTTTGGCCATGTGCCTGAAAGAGCATCAAGTTTGAGAGATGGGAGTTCAGATACCAGATTTTTTCCCTGAAGCTTCCTGGGCACAGCATTTTGAACCTCCGTCTTTTAACAACAATTGCTCATCTTACCTTGCATAGTCTACTACTCATGCATCTCTCCCCTTTAAAAAACTCAAAAACACCTAATAGCACTGGAGGCTTAGTCAACTGAGCAGAAACACAAGAGATATTGGGAAATCTCACTCATATTTATTTAAAAGTAGTTGCAAATTCCCATTGCTACTCTTGGGATAGTAAATTAATTAGGATCCCATCTGCCTCTTCTGCTTAAATTATGGTGCTTTTGCAAGCCTCCAAGATGCACCACCTTTTTAAAAATCTGAGCAAGTATTTCAAGACCAGAGCATCTGAAAGCCCATTTCAGACATATATGATCTAGAAACAGGCCAGCTGACAACATTGCCTAAGTCCCACCCTCTCATAACTGTGTTCAAGGCAGTTTCTTGGTGCCTTTCTTTTAAAATGTTTAAAGGCTGCAAGGCTTCAAATAATTGCTTGAATTATCATATCCCTACAACCCAGACTGTATAAAGATTTCAAAAGATCTCCACCAGTCAAAGATTTCTGTTACTGGGATTGCTGCCCACATGTGTTCTAATTATCTGAACAGGCATAGGTCTGACATGGTTAAACTCCTTTAATATATATTTTTTCTGATCTAGGGCTTACAAAAGTTGGTGTATGCTACCAGCTATCCATCTTACTGCAGATTATTTCACGGAGAAGAAAGTGCCAAAGCAGGACTGCAGTGGAAGACGATAAAAATCATGTCTACAGAAGAATGAATGTGGGCAATGAAGAAATTAATGGCCAGCTGACAACATTGCCTAAATCCCACCCTCTCATACAGTAGACCGTTGACTTACAGACGGCTTGACTTACAGACTTTTTGAGTTACAGATTTCTCTGGCCGCAAAATTTAGGGTTGACTTGCTCCCTGAGAATTGACTTACAGACCAGAAAAAAACCAAAATGGAACAAAAATGGCCTGTTACAGGATTAATCGGTTTTCAATGCACTGTAGGTCAATGGAGACTTGACCTACAGACTTTTTGACTGGAGAACCGCCTTCCAATACGGATTAAGTTCTCAAGTAAAGAGAAGAAAGTGCCAAAGCAGTGGAAGACGATAAAAATCATGTCTACAGAAGAATGAATGTGGGCAATGAAGAAATTAAAGGCATTAAAGATGTTGTATACCTTGGTTCAGTCACCAGTCCAAATGGTGATTGGAGCCAAGTAATCAGAAGACTAGGGACGTGGTGGCGCTGTGGGCTAAATTAAGAAAGGCTATGCCAGAAGGACAAACAAGTGGATCTTAAAGCAAATCAAGCTTCAACTGTCTTTGGAGGCAAAAAAAATAAAAATAAAAATGAGCAAACTGAAGCTGTCCTACTTGGGGCACATCCTGGAGGCAAAAAAAAACAAAACAAAAAGAAAAAAATGAAGCTGTCCTACTTTGGGCACATCATGAGAAGGCTGGAGTCTCTGGAATAGACAATTAAGCTAAGAAAGGTGGAAGGCAGCAAGAAAAGAGGAAGACCCAAATACGGGATGAATCAACTCCCTAAAAGAAACCACAGGCTTGGGTTGACAAGAACAGAGACAAGAAAAGACCAAATACAGGATGGATCAACTCCCTAAAAGAAACCACAGGCTTGGGTTGACAAGAACAGAGCAGGGCTGTTGAGTACAGGCCATTTTGTATAGCAGGGCTGTTGAGAACAGGCCATTTTGCAGATCCCATTGATGGGGTTGTGAAGTTGTTGTGAAGGACCGCTTGATAGTGTGTAGCAACAGTAACAGATCCGGTGCTTCTCCAAACCTGATTCATCCCCTGTTCCAAAGACGATTCAAACACTCTTTCTCATCAGAGTTGGTATTTAAACCAAATCATTTTTCAGACTGACTTCCTTGTTAGAAGGTGTTAAAGAAGAAAAAGCTAAAAAAAAACAAAAAACAGCAGAGGGCAAGTCAGCTTACAACACTGGGGCAGAAACAGAAATTCTTAGAGAAAAAAAAGAATCAAATTTTGCTACTGTCGTGATGAAAAGCAAGCCCTCTCATAAGGAAATACTGTATTAGAGAATTCCTTCTTCCCTGGCGAGATGATAACACCTTCACCCATTTCTCTGCCTACTTATGTGATGCAGAACTTCCAAAAGCCAGTTGTGCACAACTATCCTTTTAAACTTCTAATATCCAATTCCGCTTGTATTTGTTTCAAACATCAATTCAGCATTATCAGAAATGCTAGTATTTGAGTGGATGTACGTGCTGCATGTTTGGATCCAGGCCTTTTTGTGCTTTTAGACGCTGGAAAGTAACAGAGTGCAATCCCGTCAAAGGAGGCTGGTGATGTCCCAAATTTCCATCTCTTCCATCATGGGCAGAGTCCTTTCTTTGCTCTATTTTCACAGCTGCAGCACCCTCTGCCGGAAATAAGGTAAACGACACTGCCATGAGACCAGGCTGCTTCAAATCCAACCACAGCAAGGGAAAATGTCAGTTTCCAACATACAAATCATAGTCTGCTCATTCTCTGGACGGATTTTAAAAATTCTCTCCCCGCTCCTTATTTAAGTAGGTTTCAGGAAAGAAACATCAGCAGTAACATCTTGTTCTTCCTCTAGTGTGAAACTTTTTTCATCCTAAATGTGGCTTAGGAGGTGGTTCCGTCTACACCCTTTTTGAGGGCATGGCAGGCTGAAGAATTTCTGGCTTTTTGTTACAGGCAAACCAAACTGCACAGAAACTGTTCCTTTTAAATTGTACTGCTGCATTCCTGGGGTCTGTCGGAGAAGGGAGCCGTCCCCACAGTGGCCCACAGGGAACACGTAATCAGTTTGCAGCGCAAATTAGTTGTTGAAGTCAACTTGGAAGAGCTGGGTTTGAGTTTGGCTGAGCCAAACTGGCACTTTCTCCTTTGGTTTTCATCATCGGAAAGGGGGCGCTTTGAGCCGTTCTGCATCTCGCAGTGCACCACACAGCCATTGGGCTTTTCAGAGATGGCAACATGCAGTGGAAAAAATTAGTCCAATTAACAAAGACGGCTATGGTGGCCAGCATTCTGCTGGATTGTTCAAATGCCAAAAATTAAGGAAGCAGCCGTGGCAACTGGGTGAAGTTCTGGCCTCACTGCCTATCCAGGATTTCACCAGTTATGGTCTTTTCCATTCTGCACATGGACAGTTCAACAGAGTGTTAGCCACAATATCCAGAACAGCCTTTAAAGTATCTTCTCACACTGGAAGACCACACAGACAAGGTCAGGGAGAGGAGAAAAGCCCAGGGATTGCCACATAAACCCTGCCAAGCCATCTAGAAAATACACCATGGCCAGTGGACATACTTTCCCTAATGCAAGTATGAAGAACCAGGCAGGCAGTAGTAAGGGGGGGCGAGAGGGCAGGGAGAGAAGTGGGGTGTCCCACAACTCAGGGGGTGAGCAGAAGCACTCATGTTTTCTCAAAGACAGCAAACCGTGGTACTGAAGAGTGCATAAGTTTCATCTGCCCAGTCCCTCCCCTGGACTGCAAGGAGAACAAACCTATCTGTTCTGAAGGAAATCAAGCCTGAGTGCTCACTGGAAGGACAGATCCTGCAGCTGAGGCTCCAGTACTTTGGCCATCTCATGAGAAGAGAAGACTCCCTGGAAAAGCCCCTGATGTTGGGAAAGTGTGAAGGCAAGAGGAGAAGGGGACGACAGAGGACGAGATGGCTGGACAGGGTCATCAAAGCGACCAACATGACTTTGACCTAACTCCGGGAGGCCGTGGAAGACAGGAGGGCCTGGCATTCTCTGGTCCATGGGGGTCACGAAGAGTCGGACATGACTAAACAAATATACAGTATGGTCCCTGGCTCCCACTAGTGGCCAGTTCTGATAACTTCATCGTTAAAAATCTTTATTTCAGCCATTTTTCTTTTCATATTTTTAATGTCTTCAGACCGTCAATCAACAGATATGGATTCTGTGGATAAGAGGCTCCTACGATATTGAGAGAAAATATGTGCAAACGAGATGCATGGAAACAGATAAACCTAAATACTGTACCAGCTTAGTCACTCTACGAGACCGCTACAACACCTCCATTCTACTTTCCCATCTGCACAAAACCAATCTGTTTCGAATAGCGTCGCTCAAGGGCCAAATCCTCAAAAATGACTCAGGACCGCCCAGTCCACAGACAACAGTAATCTCCAAATGTAAAAGATGGTCATCCAGGAGACCTGCCAGTACCAAAAACCTCTCATTGAAAGGAAGCCTTAACCCAGAAAGGGAAAGCAAACCAATGCAGCTGTGGTTTTATTCATTGTATTTGTGGCTATTGGAGAGATGGAAATTAAAATCAGGCAGGATTGCAAGGGAGGGGAAAGAACATAATGAGATAAGTCCCTGGGTGAGCAAAATGATGTTGTTTCGAACAGTACACAGAATAAATGTCATATTCCATTAACAATAAAAATTGGACTTCTTCGTCAAGTTTCCTTTTTTCTCTTTTTTCCTGGTTGTGAGCTTTATTCCTCAATGGTCTCCTTTTTGCCAGTTTCTTGTCCCTCAAAGAGTGGATACCTGGCCTCCACGTCAGCCCAGCTTACGTTACCATTGGCAAGGCTCTGTACGATGGCAGGAAGCTCAGAGATCTAGAGAGAAGACAAAAGACACAATCAGACAGAATTGGGGGAGGGGGGTGTTACTTCGCATCTCAGAACCCAGGCAGTTGTACATGACTGACTTCACAGACTTTAGCCGTCTTGAGACGGTAGCCCTCTCTGTTCCTTAAGGAGCCACGTGAAGACCACAAATACTCATGGACTAGCCCAGTCCTGAGAACAGTAACATGACTGCCTGCGATAGGAGACACGGCTCTATCCAGGTAAGCTGTTCACCTGAGCCAGAACCCTGATCCTGCGGTCAGGCTCACGTAGAGATACCACTCAGGTACAGCCACCGACCCTTCTTCAGAAAGTCATAACGTCCATGTTCAAAGTGACAATAGAGGCAGCAGGGCAAGCACTGTCCTGAAGGCGTAATGGGATCCACATGATGCTGAGTGCCTGAACTGTACTTGTGCCATTTCAGGATGAAGGTCGGTGGCCACGGGATTCAAGGTGCTCATGAATGGGCCAAAGATCTATGGGGTCCCATTGGTCGCCAAAAGTATGAAAACAAGGGAAACATGCACTAGAGCATAAGTTAATTTCTCAAATCTTATGATTTAGCACTTTCCATCTGTAGTTCCTTCACTGGGCAGGACCTGAAATCAGAATTGCTACTTTAGAGGCTATATTCCCTTTCACTTTTTCCTCCAAGTCTTTCTCAACTAGGACAACAAATCCTGGAGATTCCTACCCTTGGCTCAAACTATACCCTACCTAGGAGTAGGATCTGGCAGGACTTAAGCGACAGGAACAGCTCTAGCTGGACTTTCTGTTTACTGCGATGAGTATAAGGACAAGCAGTTGTCTTCTCCTGTCCACCTTCTGCTCACTGGGAGCCCCTTGTCTGGCTTTCTCCATTTTCTAGCGACACCACTACCATTCTGAGCATGCCAAGGTCACAACGGAGCCACAGCTGACTATAAAGACGAGGGTGTTTCAAGTCATCCATGTGCTTTTCTGCAAGTTACATGACTTCAGCCCCCGCCCCCCAACTCCACCCTTGCCACTTGCATGTCCTACCTCAGCCCTTATCTGGCGCATGGAATCGCGATCTCTTAAGGTGGCCGTGTGTGGCGTCCGGTTGACTGTGTCGAAGTCAATGGTGATCCCAAAAGCCACGCCAATCTCGTCTGTCCTGGCATAGCGCCTGCCGATGGAGCCGGAGGAGTCGTCCACTTTGTGGGAGACGCCGTTTCTGGTGAGAGCTTCAGCTGATGAAAAGATGGGGGAAGAAAGCAAAGATGTGCCCAGTTCTTACTGAATTGGTGAATTTTAGAGAATGAAAAACACGATCAGAGAACGGACAGACATCCCTAAAACATACTACACGGATGACTAGGAGCCTTTGCTCATGGAAGCTGAGCACAAGTTTGCTTCCTGCTTTCTTTTTATCAGAACACTGCACAATTTAAAATTACAGATATATAAGAAATATAGGTAACGTTCAAACAAATTTAATCTTTCTTTTTATCAGAACATTGCACAATTTAAAATTACAGATATATATGAAATATAGGTAACGTTCAAACAAATTTAAATGCTGAAATGATTAGGCTATTTTTGACCAGAAGCTGGCTACTTCAATAGCATTCTCCAGGCTGTTTAACGGATCTTTAGTACATGTGGTAGGGCATACATTGCACGCACATAAATGGTGGATTGACTGAATTTCTCCACAGTCACAGAAGATTTGTCCTGTATCCAAGTAGCCCCATTTTACTTGCCTATTCTTTGATCTTCCTACTCCACTTCAAAGCCTATTAAGTGACTTCCAGATGGTCCAGCCAGAATCTTGTCTTGTTGGGGGACTTAGAAAGACTCCCTCCAAAGCACTGTGAGTACACTTGGGTGTTCCCACCCACCCCCAAGGCAATGGTATGTAGCCCTCTAATCCTTCCTATCTAGAAGCACTGCGCGGTAAACTTGCTTTTTAATGGTTTTTTAAGTGCTGAGTATGTCTGGCTTGCCCCCCAAATCTTAGAAATAAAGTACACTATATAATCTAATTCAGAAAGAAGTAACATTTGGTCCTCACCCCAAATCTTTTTGACTTCTACTCTTGTAAGCCTAGCCAGTGCAAGCAAAGGAAAGGGACGGTAAGACACCCAGCCCAAACCCTCGGGAGGGGCAATGATCCTCCTCCCTTCTACAGCAGACGCACAGAAGGCCAAAGGCCAAAAAGAAAGTTCGGCAGGCCATCAGGCGCTAAAACAATGCAACGCACAATCCAAAGAACACTGCACTGCTTATTTCAGCTTGTGCCAGGGAAATTGCATTAAGTCTTTCTGCTCAGCAATGAGGTGCTGGTTGTGTTCCTGAAAGTGTGCGTACCCAGGAACGCAACCAGCACTTTGCAAATCCCGGCACCCAGCAGTAAACTGGGAAAAGGATTCTGGCCATCAATGCCTGCTCGACTGATTGCATCTCCCCTAATGCCAAAAGAAAAATAAAACAGCATATGATCTAAAAAAGAGAACCCATCACCTCAAAATAATCTGTTATCATGGGGTGGAAGCCATCACCGGGGCTCACAGGAAACAACAACTGGAAGGCTAGGTTGCTGGTTGGTGCCTGCTCATGACATTTCCTCTGTCAGAGATTTATAATAATAATAATTTATACAGTAGGCGTGAACTACTGTTAGCAGGATGGATAAAAATATATATTTTTTAAAAATCAAATGGATTTCAACCATGATTAAAATGAAAAAAATGATTTTTTTTAAAAAATTACATTGTCGAAAAAATCTGATTTTCTTAAAAACGTAAAACAAATCCACCCAGATTTTCAGGAAATGAAACCACTTTCTCCACAATTTATCGGTGTAATTTAGTCATACTCCCACCGTATCGTTTCCGCTGTAAGTATCTGAGTTACTCACATAGCTCCTTCACAAACGGCATAAATTCCAGGTTCTGGCTCAAGGGAAGGACAGAGCATTTGAACGGAGCCACCACAGCAGGAAAGCTGAAGTACTGGTGCAAAAAAAGAAAACACAGAGGCTTTTAGACTAGTGAAACTAACAGAGTCTCTCTGAGAGCATTTAAAAAACCAGCTCGCAGGGGGCTTCCTCTGAACTTGACTAAGAATTAGCAGGAAATACAGAGCACCTCGGAGCAGTCAGGAGATCATTTAAAACTGGTGAGTGAGCTGTATTTATATTTTGCAAACTGGACATTTTGGGCCAAATCCTGTTGCATTTCGCCATGCCTTGAAGGACAACAGCGCAAGCGGTTTTCTTGGTTCACTGGCAGTCCATCATGCACTGGCTGAGTGATCTACTGCACCATCAGGGCTCAGCCTGGCACATGACAGACAAGTGGCAGAACAGTGAGCCATGCTCAAGTTACTCAACAAGATTCTGGCCATATTTGGAGGGGGGGCGGAGTTTAGGAGAAAGTGCTTATTTCTTTTTTTCCAGAGTTGAAATTCTTCTGCCTA